GTAGGTAGGAGTTCTAAACCAGTCTTTATCTGCTGGGGTTTGAGGAACTGGGAGCTGTGGCATTGTGGAGTCTGATGGCAGATGTAAAGATTTGAATACACAGCTTGTTAATCTAATATATAAAAACGTAGCCATGTAATTATTCATATGAATTTTAATGATGACTTTGAATTCAAACAATACTTAATAACTCATATTATTTTATTTATATGTATATATTTTATTCATGTCATTTTGTGTGCAGCTCAATTGAATGAAACAAAAAAAATCTATTTATTGTTATTATTATTATTGTTATAATTATTATTAGCAGTAGTATTGTAAAAGTAATTGTCTTAAAGATTGATCTGTTTGAGTTGAAGATCTCTATTTCGCACCACATCTTTGCGGAGCCTTTAATATCCCTGATTATAATATAAACTCCTAAAACATATTAATTAAATACATAGCCTCATATATCCATATAGACCCATAAACACAGATCGTGATAGTCGGTGCAAACCTTAACTAAACATATACTCCCAAAACAAAGCGTCCCTGACTCTTTTAATTCAGGCACTGACAGCAGCTACTAAAACCGCTCAATCATCAACAATCGACGCCGAGCGAAAGACCAGAAGGCAACACCAGGGCATGGAAATAGAAAGAAAGAGAAAGAGAGCATAGTTTGGGATCATATTCACAACATACATTACATTTAAATCTCTCTCTCTCTCTGTGTGTGCTATCTCACCAGCGCCATGTTTATCTCCTCCCAAAACTCACCGCCCTCCTTCAAAGATTTCACCCTCGTCATGGTGAGTGACACATCTGGAGTTTGTGGTTTCACTTCAGCTAAAGAACCGCTGCAGCAGTTTAATACCACGGCTGTTTATACAATGTGTTTGTTACCAGTGAGTTTGTTTGGTAGACTGAAGGGCTGCTGTATCAGTTCACTGGATTCATGTGTTGGCAAATGTTAGACTGTTAATGTCCTTTAAAAATGTATTTAATGGGAACACAGTCGGTTTTATTTATTCAGTTAGCCCAGCACAGATAAACAGATGAACAGTGGTAGAGGAAGCATTCAGAGCCTTTACTTAACTAAAAGTACCAATACTACACTCCTAAGATACAAATAAAGTTCCTGCATTGTGAAAGTAAAAGTACTCAATGTAGAAAAATGGCACCTGTGACTGTTACTAATTACTAATACTATTAAATATTATAGAATTAGATTATTATCACTCATGGATTAATGTGCAAGCATTATTTTATTATTTTATACAGGGCTGCAATTAATGATTATTTTCATTATAGCTTCATCGGATGATTATTTTCTCTGTTAATCATGTAAATTGTAAATCGTTTTGTTTGTGTATTGTCGGTAAATAGCGACAAATGCCCCTCATCCAGAACCCAGGGTGGCGTCTTCCTACTTCCTGTTCTGTTCACTGTAATTTCAGACGAGCAGAGGCAGTAAATTGTCACATGTGAGAGACGTTGGCTCCATGGAAAGCATTTTTTGTATGAAAAGAGACAGTAGTAGTAGATAAGTCTTCATTGTTGTTCTTCATTCCCCCCCCCACAGCCAGCAGTGGCTGTAGGTAACGTGGGCCAGCTGGCTGTGGACCTCATGGTGTCCACTCTCAACATGAGCAGGGTGGGCTACATACACACAGACTGCCTCATCCCCATGGCCGGGAACAACCCGTACGCCACCTGCAAAGAGGACGCGGAGGAGCTCCACACTCCTGCAGAAGGTACCACCTGATCACCGCTGACATGGATTGCATAACCTCTTTGGGTTTCGATTATCTGGCTGCTGTAGAGGAGTGAATGTGCAGATTCCACCTGTGAAGTATGTTCTTCATTGTATTATTTGCTAACCTGCATGTGTGGACATGTAAAAGACATACGGTACTTACCTGTTTGGTTCTGATGTTCTGGTAACTTTGGACGCAGCTCTCTTATTGTGTTTCGCAGCTACAGCTCTACATTTTCTTCAGAAATCGAATCCCCGATTAATCTGTCAACCTTTTCTCATTCACAGTTTACACAGCAGCAGAATTGAAGTTGGCTGTTCTTCAGATCAGGGCGCCGATTGTTCAGGTAAAACCACAGCCTGTTGCATCAGCATTAGTCTGATTCTGTTTACCTTTTTACATTTTTTCATGATCCAAAGTGCAGAAGAATAAGAATACTGCTAAATCTATTTTTGTGTATAACTTTTATTTAAATTACAGACAAAATCCAAAAGGTTCAGTCAGCTTCTTGTGTCGTGGATCAAAGCCAGCGGGTTCTCCAGGACTGTAGTTCTGTCCAGCAGCCACGCCTACCAGAGGGACGACCAACAGCTGCAAGGGTACCTAACCCCGTACTCCACATCTTCACTGCATTTCTTCACCTTTGCTGTCTACAATCCTCTCCACTAACAAATATGTGTCTGTGTTAGCACTCCTTTGAGGTACCTGGTCACTCCGTCCCTGCTGAAGGGGAGTGAGGACGCGTTGAAAGAGCTAGGCTGGAGGGAGATGGAGCGAGTGCCGGCCTTTCCAGGACTGACGGACGCCAACACAGAGCAACGCCTCTACATTCCTGGAGGAGGCATAACCAAAGGACTCTACACAGACAGGTACAGAGAGAGAGAGAGAGAGCTGGCCAGCCAACTTCATAGACATCTGGCTAGTAAGGCTATTTTTAGAAGTTTAAATGAATTATTTTTATATACCAAAGTTTGAGAAGTTAGAAATAGAGTTGTAACTGCCCTTTGTTTATGCCACATGACTCATGGCTCTATAATTAACCAATCACAGCAACAAACAGCCTGTTACGAGATGGTTATGTAGCATTCTGATAGAATTAACTCATTAAAGGTTATGTATATGAAATTCACTGCTAGTAGATGTCGCACTAGAGCACAGTATCTGAGACAATTGAGCACTACGGCCAACCAGACTCCATTGACAAAACCAGTCATTTTACCTTGCAGATAATCTTAAAACACACTTCAAATTGGACATAAACTAAATACAACTTACCAAAACCCTCTTTGTTAGTTTTTACAACAATCACCAACACTGGTTTGGTCAAAATAAATGGAGGGACTCACATGCACGAACATCCTTCATACAAATCCGGTTGTGTGTGTGTGTCGATCAATCAGTCTATTTATTTATTATAAAACTAAATCTATATTATAATTCTGTCTATATTCTCTCTCATACTTAGTTACATTATTGTCTGTATCTTTTAGTACAATTCTACTTAAATGTGGCTGGAAAACCTGCAGAATAATCTGTTATCTGCAGTATGATAATAAACAAAACACACTTTCCCTGCTGCAGTATTTTATACATGAATTATTATTATACAATTAATAACAACAATTATTAATAATAGGTTTTCTTATGTGTCTGACCATGTGTGCTGGATGTTATGTTTAGCTGTGCAGAGGATCTCCCACTGGCTGTGCTGCTGCTCTTCTGTTCAGAGGGCGACAACATCCCAGACGCCTTCACGCTCGTCAACCACCTCAACGACTGGCTCCATCTGCTGGACAATCCTGTAAGTGACCAACTTGAGCAGACAGCCGAGACAGCTGCCTTAAATACTTTAGCACACTAAGAAAATAAAATAGCATAGACGTGAAACTTTCTTAAGAGAATCACCGTATACTGGATACTACTACAGTATTATGTGTGACTGCTGTAGAGATTATACATTTTTCTAATTATGGTTTTGCATTTCAGAGCCAAAAGCCCAACAAATGGAAGATCCCAACATCCTGGAGTCTTCTCTTTGGCAGCGGCATCCCTCCTGCACTGTTCTGAAACACGCATATTTAGTTTATTTTAGCTCATAATTAGCTCCTGGGGAATGCAGCATGCTTTAAAAACTCTTTTGGCCTCTGTGCTATAACATCTGTGCATTTTTGAGACCACTGTGGGTTCTTCACTGGGGTCAAACCTGGTCAGCGGAGAAGAGCAGTTTTTTGTGTCCTAAGCTGATAATACTAAAGGACTCTTTGTGCTTTTAAACAGTGTATTATATTGACTTCAATTTTGGACTTTAAACATAGTTGTAAACTGACCCCACAAGAGCCCCACCCACCCCCTCACTCTTGGACATTTATTGTAGTTTCCCTTTATTTTGATAATGATCTTTAGATGTACAAACATTGCATCTTGTACAGGAACTGACCCAGACGTGCACTTCTGGAATACTATTTCCTAGTATTACAGCATTTGAACGTGTTTTCCAATAAAAGACTGTTGCAAGAACCCTTTTTGACTTTATCTAAAGACTGTGAGTTACTCTCACTGGACCGTGCCTACACTCGCTAAACTGACTTGGCCCGGTGCCATATTGTATTCCTGGCAGTCCTGCCTCTGAAATTTGATTCCTTTGTACAACAACTTAGAGGGATCACAACAAGCAGTGCTCCGATTCATACTCTGACCTTGTAAGTGCTGTTCTGCCAAGTTTGTGGTTTCGTCATTCTGTTTGCATATTGTTTTGGGTAGTTTCCCTGTACCCTGGTTGTGGGAAATGAATGTCCCAGCATTTGTTTATTTAAAGAGAAAAACCATAAAATGAAACAGACATTTCCATGATTTAAAAAACAGACCCTAAAAGTAAATTCAAAATAATTATTTATATTAAGCCATTTTCCAAAGCTTTACTTATCAATACAACGGAGGATTCTGAAATATTTGCCCCATGAGAGATTCCATGGAGACATAACATGACCACTTGCCAACCAAATGCCACACATAATAAAATCCAAAATGTTATCCAATGTATGTAACTCATTTTAAACTTGCTTTTCTGTCACAAATATAAAATAAAAAGGAAAGATGATGAGACTCATATCTTCCTAGGCAACACCAGAAGTCCAAGCTAAATTAACCAGCTGTAGCTTATATATTTTTTTAATGGACAAATTTTAAGTATCAATCTCCTAATCCAACTTTCTCACCTTTTGTAGGAAATTAAGAGGCTACGGTATCTCGGCTAACAAGTTTGTGGTGAAGTAAGAAGAGCGTAGACAGGTTGTTATGTAAACTAGATAATACCAGTTTTATTTGTAGATTACACTCTAAGAGAAAGAGAAACTTAAGACAAATTAATTTCAAAAGGAGAACAAAAAGTCATCAAATCAGCTTTTCTACTGTATTCAAATCTGTAACATCGTCGTTAGTCTTTTTTTTTTTACAAGCAAAAATATGTCTTTACACACATCTTTTTAAAAAGAACACTATGTACATCGTGGAAACATTACACGCCACTGAATTTCTCATGTGGGAGGAGGCAGTGCTTTTCATTTAACCAACCCCCCATCACTGTGAAAAACTTCAAGTAATCTCTTATAAAAAATAGAACTTTTTTATTTTCCCCTCTGAAAAATGCTTTCTAAAAATACACATATGAACAGCATTACAAATTGGCAATGCATAGCCCCTATTATCAGTCTTAAGTTCATTGATGCAGAGAAGCAAAATAGATTGACAAAAGCAGCAAATAATATTAAAGCAAAAAAAAACAAAAAACAATTCTGATTCCAGAAGCAGCACAGGGCTGTGGTTCAGGTGTGATCCGGGCATAAAGCGCTGGTGTGTTTCTCTTTCCAAATGTGCTCTCTTCAAAGAATGTCGAAGTGTCTGCTGTAAACAGTTTAGAGGGGGGATGAGGAGACATGGGAAAGCTGTGAGGTGGAGGACTGAGGCGAATGTGGGAGTGACATGCTGCTAACGGGAAGGAGGAGGAGGTGTGCTGAATAATGCTTCCATGACAACAAAAAAGCAATGAAGAGAGGAGAGCTGGCTCTTGAGGTTGAAGTGAGGAAGAGTGGTTTGGAGTCGAGGAAGAAGGACAGAGGTTGGGAGAGAGCTGGAGTTCCCTGCCGATGTTGGCTTTGATGCCAGAGCTGTTGGTGCGTGGCCGCAGGTGGAGGTGGTTAGCAGTCGCTGGTTTTCGCCCTGTCAAAAGACAAAGTTTAAAGAGGGTTGAACTCAGAATACTGTTTCCTGCCAGAGTCAGTGAAGCTCAAGTGTAATCATGCCACAAGATCAAGTTAGTGTCTTCAGCTTGGTTAAAGTTTACAAGATTCAACTTCACCAGAGAGCAGGAATAAGGACGCATTGCTTAACTGCTAGCTGGAAGGGATGTCACGAGAACCCACACTTCAGCACCAAGTCGATGCCTAAATTCTTAGAACTTGACAGTATTTGTTTTTTTTACAGGCAGGTTATACGCCTAAAGGTATTCTAGTCTGCTGTTAAACGCCAGGCTGAGCTCCAGCTCGGAGGTGAGTCAGACAGCGGCGGAAACTGACACACTGACCGTGTCACTGCAAGTTCAACAAAAGCCCTGCATACAAAAAGCCAATAAAAGTAATTTATTAATGTAATCTGCACAAAAGAATGCACAGATGATGAAAATAAACATTCAGCAGAATACAGCTCAAGAATGGCAACTCAAGCAAAGGCGGGAGAGAAATTCCCTCCTGACCACAACAAAAACAATTACAGAGTATGTTCTGCTATTTTATAGCTACTTTGTAGTATAAAAACAAAAAAACATTAGGGAACAGCTTTCTTTTCTTCCTAATGCAATGCAGAGCTATTTCTCCTGTATTAAGGACTCAATATTAAAATAGGGGATTTGGAAAAAAAAAACAAAAAACAAAACTTTTTTAATGTGGTATTAAATGAGCATCGAGAATCGTGGAATTTCACTGGTGTTGGTATCAAATACTAAATTTGTGGCATCGTGACATCCCTAATAGCAGGAGCTGTGGCTTGATACAGTGTCTCGGATCACTTTGCTCAAACCTGCATTAGAGTGATTATCAATGCAAAGCAGCCATCATGTTTAATAAGCAACATGTCACACTGTTCAGGTTGTAAATGTTCAAGAAAATTTCCAAGAAAATTTCCATTTAGAAAACATCATTTTATTATCTGTGAACTAAACTAAGCCTCATCCCCTGGTGCTGTAGAAGGGTAGGAAGATAAAAACAGAGCTGAAACAATTTGTCAATTAATCGTCAGAAAATAAATCGGAAAGAAATTTGATCACCGTCAATTATCAAGCAAAGTATTCCCTGGTTCATTTTCTGTTTAATGTCATTGTTTCATTGATGATCAATCTTAAGACTTAATCTTGGGTTCTGGGAACATAAGAGGAGCACTGTGACCGGCAGTAATGTTCAAAATCAGCCAGGGAAAAGGTCACGTAAACAATGTGAATGTGCTAAATCAAGCGTAGTGCTGCCCAGCTGTTCAGCTTTAGATGTAGTTTATATGCTTTCTAGTGCTTTTACTGTTAAAACCTACTCAAATCAGCACAAATATTTAATTTAACAAAGAACACAGTGTTTGCAGGAGAAAATTAATCAGCAACTATTTTGACAATCAAATAGTTGTTTAAAAGGACCAGAGTGTAGGATTTTAGTGGCATCCAGTGGTGGAGTTATAGATTACAACGCCCTCCCCTCACCTTCACGTTCCAAGTATGTAGGAGAAAAACTATGGTGGCCCTATCTAGAGTCAGTTTTTGGTTTGTCCGTTCTGGGCTACTGTAGGAACATGACATTTAACATGGTGGATTCTGTAGGAGAGAACCCTATCTGTAGATAAAAACGGTTCATTATAAGGTAACAAAAACACAACAATTCTTATTTTACACACTAATGAACTACATGTTAATATTATATTCCATTCCTGCCAATAGATCCTCAAGAATGTTACACACTGAACATTTACGTCATCTTCAAAGCATAAACATCCAACATTCCCTTGCTGACAGATTCTTAACTTGAATGATTTACTGCTTCCCTTTGTCTGATGTGACAGTAAACTGATTATCATTTGAGACATTTGGCTTTAGCGTTTGCTATTTCCGGACAAAACGGTTTGATTATTCAACGGTCCTCCAGCATATTCAATCAACAGAGGCTCTCCAGGGCCTGACCAGAAATCTCCTGAGAAATTTCAAACATCCAAACTTCCATTCAAAGTTTAACAAGGCCAAAACACAACTGATGCAGATGAAAACCCACAAACCAATTAGGAACACTGCCATGCTAAGCAAGCATGCAACAAACCTTAATGAGCCCCTCATTTCATGTGATGGACTGACACTGAGTTACTTCCTTTGTATGCTTGCTGAGGGAGTATCGATGATTCTACATTATCTGTCTTAGCCACCTTACTTACTAAAATAATAGCATTTTCATGTGCAAAGTAGTGGATTAAAAGCTTTAGTGGTTGTTGTTATAACTGGCTCGCTCAGCTACATTTGACGTGACTGAACAGACAGATAAGATGCTACCAAATTTAAATCTATGGCGCGCACAATATAAATTAACACCTTGCATTATTCCAACTCAACCTGACATTTCAGAGCTTCAGCAACCATAAACCACAAATGTGCACACACACACACACACACACACCATGCTAGAGTGCAGCCAAATTTAACAACAACTCCAAACCACAGGAGCCAAGCAAATCACAAAAACAAGAACAAAACCTCAAGAGAAACACAAACACAACAGACGCCACACACACACACACACGCACACACACACCTCCATGTACAAGAGTGGGCGTTCTTTCTAAAAGCTGTGGGTAAACTTCGTCCTCTACATGTGCTCTTCGTGGTTGTTGTTGCTGTCGCAGAGGGGGGTAAAGATACACTGCCCCCCACTGGACAGGCCAGCTCTTGTCATGTGCAGCAAATGCAGCCCAAACTGTCCGAGAAGAACCACAACAGCAGCAGAGTGAGATCACGTCAGAAATGTTGCAGTTTGGGCCAAATTACTGGAACAACACTGACATGTCACACAACAAAGGAAGGCTTCTCAGAAATGACTTAGTGAGCCGTTTGTGGAGGTGCACAGTCATCAGAAATAAGTGCTTCATCAGGTCTAACTGTCTCGCCTTTATGAGAACATGAAGTAGCTGTCAGTTAGCCAGACTGGTGGCTTCTTTACGCTAAATGACTGAGAGTATTCAGAAGGTGAGGGAAAGAGAAAATTAGAGTAAATATTAAGCCTCGGCTTTAGTAAGAAGTGGAACTTTTGCTATTAGGAGGTTGAGTCATGCTCTGGGAAAGCCTGCCCAGATTCCCTGTGGGGTTAAAAGAAATGACTCATATGACTATTTGACATTTCATTTATATCACGAGAGTAAAATGCTGCCTTTCCTTTCTATCTTTCCTTTCTTAAATATAAAAGGTTCAGATCTAGTTCTTACAGCCTGGTAAATACATAAAACACACATAAAACTACAGCGAGTAATGAATATAAAAGCAGCGCTGTGATGGTGGATGACAAATCATCCAGCAATGTAACAACAGTTTTGATGCTTTGTGAATGAAAAGTAAAAAGTAGTTCCAGCCAAAAGATGTAATCACCTTTTTCTCTTCTTCTCTGAGTCATTTGTCCTGGGCTTGCTTTGGGGTGTCTTGGCTGTACCTGATTTGGAGATGCTGTCTTCTCTGCGTCGTTTGCTGTGTAAAAAGGAGGAAAAGAGCTGTCCGTCAAAGACTGTTAAAAAGACAGTGTGGCATTCATTTAAAATTTTGTCAGAGATGTGTACTTTTCTTAAAACAGCTTAGCCAATAATCTGTTGTTAATTTAACAACTGGTGGATATCTCTTTTGTTAGATTTGTGTGTACTGACTGTGTTGTACTGCCGTCCAGCTCCTGTTCCTTGCAGGGAGACTGTGCGGGCACTTTGCCATCCTGTCTGTAGTCTACTCCCTCCTCCAGCTGACCTCCCCGCTGGCTGCCGTTGCATCGCTCTGTCGGACACCTGGCCTGAGGCTGAGTTGACGGGGGAGACTCCGACGTCGGCTCCTGATCTTCCCTGGACAACTCCCGCCACCGGTTCTATGCGTGAAGAACAATGAACAATGAGAGAAGTGGACATTTTTCTACTGATGCAATAAATGAATACAAAATAAATAGAAAGAGATATATCAAAACAACTTTAAAATGTGTCCGCAAAGCAAACCACCATCCTATTTTTCCACTGTAATTTTGTTTGCAAAATTATATGATGAAGTGATGTTCCTGTCAAAAATGTCCTGTGTGCGACAAAAAGAGTCAGTTTCAGTCTAAAAGTCTCAGCAACACTGGTGAGAACAGTGACCATGACTGGATCATTTAAAAAGGTAAGGGCCACGTAATATATATTAAAAAACAGAATCAAAAAAGTAGCCTCAAAATGAGCTGTTTCTATTTGTTTCACTCACAGGAAAATGTCTCAGGTTTCAAGTAGGATGCGCTTTAAATATACACTTCTTTGTTTATCTGTCTACCATTTAGCACCCTTTAAAAATGAAGGCAAAAAAACCTTCAATAGCATATACACTTGTCTCCTAAAACCTACATACTTCTCATTTAAATACACCTCTTTCTCTTGTATTGTTTATCCTCTCTGTTTCCCTCTGACATTGACACTTTACTGATTAACATACAGTCGCTTTATCAGTAAAATGTGCCTGGAGGCCTGGCTAGAAGGGTCTGGTGATAAGGTGGGAAATCTGCTGTAGCCCTATTTAATCTACCTCCTGCCACGGAATTAATCAGTGAATCAAATGGATTTCAGTCGTGTTCACTCTGGAGTATAAATGAACAAACACAGACCCACCGCCATACTTTTGTGCTTTTCTCTACGGCCAAATTGCCAATTGAACCGAAGCCTAGAGAAACTTACAGACAGTAGTACAGTCTGTGTTCAAACCATATAAACAAAGGGGAATGAGAGAATAACTATAATATTCACTGTATATTTATTCTAGTCGGACACTCCTTACTACACAGCTCTGTTGTAAGAATTTTGCAGTTTCACAAAATCGCTGAGGGACGTTTCAAAGTTGCTCTTGGCACAGAGGATCCTTTAACCTTATGATACCCAAACACAGAGGGCTTTACAAGTTTATTTAAACATTTAAGCCCATAATTTCTAGGAAATCTACTGAAGGACCATTTATATGTTGGCTCACAATCTTTTTCAAAAGAAAGAACTCCCACTGGAAAAACAAGACAAGACGGAGTGTCTGGGTTACGAGCAAACAAGAGATACGGAGATAAAATGGAGATGAAAAGTACTGAGCAATAGAATAAGTTATGTTGTGTGTGGTGCAGGTACCTGTACAGAGGAGTCTCCCATGATGTACTTGGCTCCTTCGAGGACAGCCATGTAGGAGAAGCGCAGCTGGTCAGGGGTCTGGATCAGGCCCATGCGGTACTTCCTCATGTCCAACAGGATGCTTTTGATGTCCACTGATGAGGGGTCTTTCCTCTTGCCCATCTGGAGAGGACAGCAACATAAATTGGCTCAAAGAATGGGAAATGGTGTCACTGTTCTTGTAAAATCCTGTGGAACTAGTTGCCAGAATTGTAATAGGTACTCTTCAGAGGAAAAGTGTGTTGATCCATTGGCTTTTCCTGAAGACATTTTCTATGAGCAATATAGATTCTCAGCTAAGGGAATAAAATATCCACACTTTTTGTGTAGTACGTTAGTAACGACACTGTATTTTTTTCACTACAGATACCTACATGCATTCAGCCAGTGATGGAGAAAATTAGAGAAAGAATACTGTACACACTGAACTACTGAATATGTTTGTAGTATTCCCTGGCCTTTTGCCCACACTGGCTATAACAGAAACCTTCTATAAAATTGCATGTAGCATACATTAATAGTTCACTATATTATTAATCAGTATGATGTTTACTTGCATATGAAATGTGAAATAATTGTTTCAAAGTATTCCCGAGGGGGGTTTAATATTTAAAAGTAACTTAATAAAAAGGTAAGATTTAATGGATTGACCTATATCTTGATTTCAAATCGGATTTTAAACAGTATTTTGCTATAGTCTGAATATTCTGACCATTTGGTGTTGTATTTCTTTACTACTGCTTTTGTGATGATACTAAATAGACAAGACAACCTAAAAAAACAAATTCCTCTTGAGCTCATATAGACTCACCAGTACCACACATGTGTCGACTAATGAAAACGTCCCTGAGCGTCCGATTCCAGCACTGCAGTGCACCACAGCCGGTCCGTGATCGACCCCCAACGCTCCCGACTCCCGCACTTTGAAGAGGAAGTTTAGGAAGGATGCTGGAGACTCTGGAACACCAAAATCAGGCCACGTGGTGTAATGAAAGTGGTAGATCTCTCTCTTCTCCCCCGTCTGTGAAAACAGACAAACACAGGCCTCTTTAGAAGGTACAACAAATCTATTCATCTGCAGTGAGCATGTTAAGACTGGTTTTTATTAGCTCTGTTTGTTGTGACTTGAAAACTGAACTAGGCAAACATTTCCAACAGTTTCAGTTTCAATTCATGGAATAAAACCAGGTTCTGAAAACTTGACACAGCAAAACAACAAATATAGACGTGTACTTATTTCTCATGCGGATAACTTCTTGCTGTTGATTTTTCTTTTTTAAAATCATACTTTAACAGGTGAAAGACGGATTACAAAAACTTCTGAAATTAAAGTTTGAATAAAAATCTGATTTTAAAAAGCATGTGTTGTGCATTTTAAATACTTAAATTACTGTGCTGCCTAATCTGAAGCTAATTTGTATTATCTCAACACCCACATGCTACAAGAAACAGAAAACAATAAGCCTTAGTAATGAATAAGCATGTTTTCAGTTCCAGGTAACCTTAGACAACCCTGCTCCATGTTATGCGCCTTGGTGTGACAAACATGTTCTCAGTTCTCCTTTGCCACCTTTTACTGAGAATTCCCTTTAGGCTAAGTAATACATTTTGCCTACACTAATATTCTGCAGCTCCAACACTCTGGTGGTGTAGTAAGACTTGGTGTCTTCTGACAACAGCGTGACCAAGAACCGTGTGTCTCTGAACGCCATCTCTCTCTCCTCAGCTGTGGGCCAATACTGAGCACATTTTTCCTGTCAGAGAAGAAGAAAGGAGACAAACCTAGTTAACAGATACCAACAGAGATACTGACAGAGAATTACACCTGATGAAAAGCAGACGCTAGCTGAGTGGCCAGGTTTGCCTTGAGGTGGACGACTAACAGGAGTACATTTTGATCCTTGGCATTGAAAAGGAAGCTGGAGAATAAAATTGAATAAAGCTACATTTTTCTTCTCTCTCACTACACGTACCTGCAATTTTAACGTTTATTTTGTAACGTGTTAGACTTACATAATAGACTTTCACATATACAAAAAAACATATACAAATATATTATGTCACAACCTTGTTGTCTGTATATTTTGTTCTATTTGTTTGTCCAATTTAGGTCACATTTTCTGTTATGTCACATTGCATGTCAACAAAAAATATTTAAAAAATGATAACAATGGTTAGTCCAAACTTGTTGGTCCAGGTCTATTTTTTGTATTTTGTTTCTAAAGTTTAACTTGTGTATTACTCTTTTGGGTATTTTCATTTCGTGACTACAGTCCTTACACCACACAGATGAAGCACTTTGAGCTGAATTTCCTGTATGAGAGGCGTTATATACATTCAGCTATTAATATTATTATCATTATGAAAGATCAGCACAGACCTCCTAGTCTCTGAAACCCACTTCATCCTCCCGTAGGTGTTAAATAAATCGATTCACAGAATTTTCATTCCTATCGAACAATTCAGTTAGTTATTCAGTTTGAGGCCTGTATGAAAGCATCTGCAATTGTCATTGATTTAGGTTCTTCCTTCCTAATTCGTCATCCGTCTACAACCCCCCGTCATAGAGTATTTTCTTAGTACTCAGACAATAGCCAGAACTGTTAAGGATAAGTCTATTATGCAACCCTCGCTCTGCAGGATTAGTGAGCTGGCCTACATAAAAGATCCTTGTGAGGTTATAATACTATCTGTAGACTAGGTGCTCTTTGTCTTCTATTTCCAAGAAAACAGCCAGTGAGTGAATCTCATGACTGAAGCAAAAGCCACTCCAGCTGTTTTACTGAGAAAGAGAGAGACTACAGCTGCTCTGCCTTGAGAGGGAGCGTTAGTGTGCATGTGTTTAATCGGCACATCGTAGGATCACTGGATTTAAAAGAGTGGAGAGGTTGGGCTGCATCCCAGTTCCTCACATACATCTGTGAACACACAGTCAAAACACTGAATTCCAGTTATCCTGCTGACAGGAGTAAAGCTTCTCAGCAGACCATTTAAACGGAAATCAAGATTAATTCAACAAGTTGCATTAATAATTTTACACTGTCAGCAGGCTACAAACTTTGACAAAGCGTGTGTGTTGCTGCCTTTCTGTGGTCTGTTCAGTATTTCTGCAGTCTGCGTGTGGGTGTGTGCATACCAGACAAATGGCAGATGTCAAACCAGACAATATGATTATTTTATTATTGTGTACTTACTGAGCCTTTCTCAATGACCCTGTTGAGCATAATGACTGCCTTTGTCTTCTGCTCCCAGATCATGAGCCAAAAGTGGCCACAGGTGTTCCTGAGGGGGCCCTGTGGACAGCAAACACACAGATACAAACACACTTTTAATAAGTTACATGGCAGGAGTCCAGCGGGACAGCGGGAAGTCATTTACAATGGAAATATATCTTTCAGGCATGAACAAAAACATTAGATCCACTACATTAAAACAAAGCAACTGGCTGTGAACTTTTATTATTAAGATGATACTGATACAGTATGCAAAATAGATCTGCATAATGCTAAGAGTTCAAGAGGTTTCTTAAAAGGTCAAAACTGCTAAAGGTTATGATGTGGTTGAGTTGAGTAAACTGTACTCTGTAAGGCGCAATATCTTTAAATGTCAAATGTCTCAAATTATACAGAATATTTAAAAAAAAAAAAACCAGACACGAACAGTGAGATACTGATACTGAATCAAAAGTCTTTGATTTTTTTTTGTCATGTATAAATATAGTAAAATGTGTCAGTAAAAGAAATACCATAATGTACAATAACATACTGTTTTATGCCACATGAATTAGGATCCAAATAACAAAAGGAGTATCAAATAGTTAGTAGTAAAAAACTGCTGCAATTTTGTTTATTGTTCCACTATTTCAGAATAACCAGAATCCATTGGATTGACCTCCGATCTTTGACTTTTTGAATACATTTTCTTATATTTTTCATTGTGACAAGAAACCTGACAGGTAATTCAGACATTCTCTGATCAGTGTTGCCATACATTATAATGCATTAACAAACCACAGAATTTGTCTCATATCAAAATAACAAATACAAACCTTGATACCATTTGAAGAGGCCACAAACAACTTGTTGTGACATAAATTCAGTGCATGTTATTGAGCGTCCGACAAAGTATTTCACAAAAGGTTGACATACTTTTGGTAGATAACGTCGTCAAAATGTCTATCTAATTCTTGACTCTTGAGTTACTTGGAAAGGCTACAATTGAGACTTAATAATAACATAAGATAAGGGTGACTTGATATTGAATTTAGTCTTGTCATGTTAACTTGTGTCAGCTTTCTGTGGCTTTAAATTACTGGAGCAGTGTTCAGTGAACAGTGAGCAATATCATTTGGTGAACAAGGATCTGTTTCATCAGCTCAGTCTTCTGTGGTCATGAAAAAAAAACATCACATGAAAAGGTTATGTGGTTGTTTGTCTTCCTGTAGACATTAGAATATTCAAAGGTGTGTGGTGTGAAGACACCCCTGCATTATCCTTCTGTTTAGGAACCAATTTTAATGACTTTGGCTTTAAAAAATAACTTAAAATCATTCCAATCATAGACAATAGCCCTTAATAATAATAGTGTTTTAATCTTAAATATTGTACCCTTTAAATATTCATTACTAGACGTAACAAGGTGAGAGAGCTGAGAAAATTTCACACACTTATAAAAAGCCCCAAAAAACTGTGTCACCTTTCATGATTAAAACACAGTGTAGACCAAAATTTCAATGTTTCTACACACTTTATCAATTATCTTCTCTTATCTCTGTGGTGTTCCTTTCATTTTGTCTGGCTTCTATATCAGTAAGTAATTACATAAGTAGTGGTGGTGGTGTGTCTTATCTCAGAAATGTCACATCATACTTATCTTACTCACTGAGTTAGACAAGGCAATGATTTCAACCAAACTGCAGATGAGACTGGTGGTTTTTTCGCATGCAAATTCATTTTCAGATAACAATTATCTTTAAAATAATGGTGAGTCACGACATTTATGATCACACAAATGTCAATACCAAACTTGGGGTCTTCTTTTAGTCATGAGATAACCTAATAAATTATATATGTATCAAACAAGGGTGGACCTGAGACAGATGCTCCCCCTGGACGTTTTTTTCTTTGCCATTAGAGGTCAGTTTCGTGGCTTTACTCCCTGCTATGTATATTAAAACTACATGGGTAGACACAAACACACTTTGTGTGTAGGCAAGGGAGATGTGAGGACAAAGCATATGACAGATTATTTTTGATGTACCTTAGTTTTCACTGAGTTATTTATCACCGTGATTAAGTTCAAAGCTTTTAGTTTTCATCGTGTCCATTAGATCCAGAAACAAGGATGTAAAATAAAGCCAGTCGAACCATCTTAGTTTAGAAATACACCTAATGATATAATCATTTTCAAACTTAGTTTTTCTCAATCTTTGCTTTTTTACTAGTATATATAACTGTATATAGATGAAGGTAGCAAATAATATTATTTGCTATT